GTCACGATCTTGATCTCGATCTTCCCTGGGGAGGGGGCCCGGGGGGTTGGTCTGGGGGAGGGGGGGCTCCCCCCGGCTGCCTCCCCCGCCCGGACCCCTCCCTACCTTCAGCCCGCAGCCCTTCCTTGGCCAGCAACTCCCGCACCTCGTTCTCCACCTGCGGCAGCTGCGGGGGGCGCGGGCCCCACGGGCGGGTACATTGCCCTGTGCTGGTGCTCGCGGGGGTGGGGGTTCGGATGGGCCCGGCGTGCACGGACGCGAAGGCACTGTCCCTTACAGTAGTGCCCTAAAAGATAATTTTTCCTTTTGACACTTTAACAGCAGCACCCACTTTCATACCCCTTATGCATTCGCCTTTAATATGCACGGGACTACGGTCCCGTTTTGTTTCCAATTTGCAGCGTTCTTCTCTTGATGAGTAGGAGTGACTGCCTCAGCAGAAAAAGAACGCTTTCATCGTTCTGTTCTTCAAAAGAAGATACTAAGACGATAGGTGGAAAGCATGTGTCATTCCAAAGACCTGTTTCCTTCTCTCAGAATTCCTTATTCTCTGGAAACAAAGGCTTACGATTAGAAATACAGGAATGTTCCAGATCTATTGTTTTGAAAGCACCTGTTATTTGTTACTGCTGGTAGCTGCAAACCCATGGTTTACACAGTAGCCCATTTCAGGAGAAAACTCCCCCCTTTGACACGTAGGGCACAACTTCGCTGAATGTTCTCACCTATACATAGCTGTTTTAAAACCTTATATGTGGCAATAGCTTCTATGTTAAAGAGAACACCACAGAAATTAACTCACAAGTAATAATGAAGCTTTCTACTAAGTTTCAAGAGAACCAGGTAACATCTATCTGCTTGTTCTGAAACAATTCTAACTGCAATGGAGTTTGTTTCACAAAACCTGGCAGAAGCCCTTCCTTTGGAGCAAATAATCCTGCAAATCCTGGTGCACCCTCCAACACCTTGGGGGTGAGGCCCCAGCAGAGCAGGCCCGTTAGGGATGTGGCAACAGTGTGATTTGGCAACAAGGCTTGTTTGCAGTGAGCTGCCAGCCCCTGTGCCCACCAACGCTCAGCCGAGATTTCAGGCTTCTCACTTTGCAGAAGACCCAGTGGGACTTTGCACCTAAGTCCTGCAGGTCTCCAGTAGGATTTTGCCTCCCAGGGAGGTGTTTTGTAAGTGCAATACTGGCATAGTAGCCCAGACTTACTCTTTTGAAAGCAATTCAGACCCAAATCCTCAAATGCACTCAATCCCTCGACCCCTCAGCACCAATCCCAGCCTGCAGATTTCGCTATCCCAGTCGCAGGCTGAGCCTTTGGCAGCTGCTCTCTGGGAGAACTCTCAGCTCTGCCTTTGCACCAGGCACAGTCAGAGATCCTGTTCCCACTCTCACGGGTGCCAGCAGCTCCCTGTGCCCACTTGCAGCTCATTTTCCTGAGACGGCTTCTAAAACTTGGTGTGGAGAGCCAGCCTCATGTGCATGGGCACGTGTGTGTTACCATTTCTTCCCAGTTCAGAAAGGCACTTGCTTGATGTGCCTTCAATAGAAGCTGCTCTTCAATGCAGTCTTGAAGTGCTGCTCGCCTGTGCCAAGGCCTTGATCTTCCCATACTCATTCTAAACATTGACTCTATATTAAATGCACACAGATAAAATATTCCTAATTTTATGCTCCATATTTTTACTGTATGCTTGGGATGTGCTAATTTAGCTGTAGAATGAAAGAGGATGGATGACACATTTTAAAAAAACTGTAATTATATCTTTTCATAGATACCCAATCTGTGTTCCTTTGGATACTTGAGCAGAGGGGGAGAAAGGTAGGCTATATTTATTTTCCCCACTAATTTTCTATTCTGAGTCACATAATATTATTCTTCAAGGCATTTATTCAAATACACAGAAATTTATCTCTTCTCTTTCTAAAATGGTGTACCAGCCATGGGCTCTAACAGTTTCTTCACTAATTAAACCATATATTTCAAACTTGTGGATTTTTCTTTTGAACAACTTTCACCTAAACATTTGGGATTTATTATACTCTCCATATAGTTTGCTTCAAATGCAACTAGGCTTGCTTTTTGTAGAAAAGTGAACATTTTACTTTGCTTGTGAGGTAAATCCTTATTTCTGCATGCAGTTCAAAGAATTCTGTTACTCCAATCCTGTTATAGTTTTGTATATATATTTGAGTTAGCCTAATCACACACTGTAAGAAGACCGTAACAGAGAGAAGATAGAACAATTTCAAAATACATTTTCAGAATGAAATGTGGATGCAGCTTCATGTCTGTTATAATTTTTTTCTTTGTTCACATTTGAAAGAAAGTGAAGCCAAATAAAGACTCTTCAAAACTTATTTTATGTAACATATGGTGGGAGCAGAACGTAAAGTGTGTAAAAAGTTGTGTATTGAAGTAACATTTATAAGAATTATTATCTTGCTAAAATGAAAGGAAGGCAACCTGCTGACTTTATGTTATTGAAATAAATAGCAATAATAATATCTCTACTCCTTTCCAACTTCTGAATCATATAAAGTGTGTGGTTTTGGTATGCAGTTTGCTTTGTACATGAAACAGTGAGGAAAAACAATGACTTAGCTAAAAGGGAACAAATCAAAAGACTGCCATAAAAGTGAATAGAAGAAAATTTGGGTTTGGGGTTTTTTTCCTCCTCCTCAGACTTTCTGGCTAATACTCATACAGTAAATGTTTTTTGGCAGGAAAATTGTTCTGTGGCAAGAAAATTGTTCTGACAATTCAGAGAGCAACAGCAACTTAAGAAATTTGTTCAGTCTGAGATCTCCATTAATAAATATTTCCATACTTGGTTTGAAATACATTTTCTTATACATAAAAATCAAGGGTATCTTTCAAATTTTTAAGACATCACATATGATGGTAAAATCCTCTATTCAAAGATTATCTTTTTATCTTTGTCATTTGGAAGTATCCATTATGGACTATCATAAGTCATTATATAAAAATTAATGTAGTAGTACTATTGTCAGGTCTTCTCCATTATAACTATGTAGAACTGTGTTTACAGCTCAGTCAGAGCAGAATTGACACCTGGAGATCTACCTGCAGAGGCAGAACTGCCCAAGAAGAACTCTCACCTGTCCCAGAATATCATTTGAAGAAGTAGCATATTTCACATGCTCGTAGTTAGAAGCTTCTTATAAAAAGTACGAAAACATTTCAAACATCCTCTGGCTGACCTGCAGAACCAAATCCCCTCTCGCTGCTGAGCTCACAGCAGCACACATCCATCAGTGCTGCCACAGAACTGCAGGGCTCAGCTCTCTGCTGACAAGCTCACAAGGTTGTCTGATCCTGCCCAAAGCAAGCCTACATGACAATGAATAAACTTCCTCCAGTCACTTCTATACACTGTATTTTCCACTTTTATTATCAGGGTGAAATTGTACTGTAGTAAACATTTTTTTTTTAAAATGTGAGGAAAAGTGCAGCGTAGAAACAGGACAATATGATTATACTCTATCTACCTTAAAATTTGAGATGGCTGAAATGTGTTTGGGTTACACCTTTTTTAAATCTGGTTGCAGTAAAGTTCTTTAAATTGAAATAAACAGATTTAGCTTTTCAATTCTCTTTCAGCATCCATTCCTTTATTTTAAAATGTTGTCTTCTGTAATGCAAGCAGGAATACCACTGAGGTGTGTGTGTGTGTGGGAGGGGTTATTGTTGTATTTAAAACAGTTTTAACCAGAGCACAATTAGATGTTGACTTTCATCTGCTGTATCAAAAAGGTGAAACTCTATGCGGTGATCAGAGAAAAGTGGATGGAGTTTGTATATATTTTAGAGGCTTAAAAATGTATCAAATTTATATAAGCAGTTCTGGTTTCTTTAACAAACACAGCTAAAATCTTGAGAACTTAAATTTGAGTATCTTCTGAATATATAACAGTTCTTAAATATTAACAGCAGAGACTTTATTAGTTACACTGCTGTTTGTTTATTGTAACAAGATCTTTATTTAAAAGAAAAGAAATAGTGATTAAACTGGAAACTCTGTGATCTGGTTATTACATGAGTTCCAGAAAGGTGGGGTGGACCTGGAGAGAAATCAACCCCAGCAAGGAAACCAAACATGTAGCAGCTCTTATTCTGCATCAATACACTTCTCATATAAGCAGGAAATAAAATGCATTAAGGGGAAAAGAGTGAGGCAGTCATAAATAAACACACACACAAACACACACACACAGATGCTTTCCCCAAATAAGTGATAGAGTGTTTAAAGATCCCTATCTAGAAAAAAATAGATCCACCGTAAAAAACTCCTGTCGGAGATGTTCAGTCAGTTTGCAATAAATAAGGAACACTGTATCATTGAAGTCTGATTGTATGCTTATTTTTTTATGTCTAAGAAAGTAATTATCCCTTCAGAAGAAATCTTTTGTTTCTTTAGAGGTCACCTTTGTAGGCATGAATAGAAAAAATGAATAACTGAAAACCCAAAGAATTGCACTCTGGTAGTGCAATGGCAGCTTCAGGGGTGCCTTGGTTACAGCACCATTTTACTTCAGTAAGCTCCCAAATTTAGTGAGTTTTATACTGGATACCACTTGGCTTGTCAATCAGTCTTCTGCCTAGAGAAATAAACACATTTCTAATCCAGAGTCCTCATTCTCCTTCCCCTCAGCTATAGTTCTTGTCATATTATCTTAGACACAAAGAACAGAAAATCACATTTGAATTCTCCCAAACAGCAAAAAAAGGATTTCATGCAGAAACAGTCACGCTCTCCACAGTAAGTAGGTGGCCCGTTTAGAGTCATCTTTGCTTAGCACCTACTTCATGCTGAAATTGTCATATTACCTTGTCAGCAAGCCTAAAGCAATGCTAATAGATGGATAAGGCAGGAGACAGCTGAAAGACCACTACAAACATCAAGTGTACTTGCTGTGGGCAGGATTCCATTTGTGATTGTCAACACTGGTACATATCCCACATTTTCTAAATGCATTTCTCCACCTCACATCTGAATTAGATTTCAGAATATCTGAAGTAATTTAAACAATGCAAAATAAATAAAACCATCTGTTTGCCGTAATTTCTTCCTCTTCAGCCTGGACCCTTCACAGATACTTCAGTGAAGCCAGTAAAAATGAAATTACCAAATAGTAGTTACTTACCAGCATAGAATGAGAGACTATCATCAAAATGTTTAGCTTGGAGACAGAAAAGAAAGAATAGTGATGAATAATCTCTGGCATGCATGCTAAAATTGATTTCTGGTATTCACACCAATAGAACATCATCCGATCTTTGGGGATGATTCTGGGAATCTATAGACTTCCAGTGAGATGATAAAGCTTCTTGCTGGCTCCTTAAACCTGTATAAACCAGAGATAAACTGGTTTGTAGTGGGGAAGAGAATGCAAGCACCAACAGTGATGAATTTTCATTGGTTTGTTCCAGCCAGGTATACTGAAGAATGCTGTTTAAGAAGCATTCCTTCTCTTTGTTATTTCCATAAAATTTTTCTATGGACAATGACAAGATAATCTTTCCAATTTAATAGAACCTTGTAGATTATATACACAAGATGTGTACATATATTGGAGATATATTTTCACAGGAGAGGACTTTTGCAAATATGAACATAAGTGTGCTGGTTTTGCATTAATTGGTATTTAGTAAGGAGGAAAAAAGCTCTTAAGTTGAAAGGATGCCTGCCTGTCTCCAAACTGAGGGAATAAAGCTCTCCTGCCCTGACAGACTTATGTCCTTGCTGTGTTAAGTCAACTTGCATTTCTCTCATTCCAACATGAAATGTGTTGGTGAGCTACCTTAGCTGGCTCCTGGAACTTCAAAGTCCACCAACACAATGTCGAAAGTCAGTAGTGGAATAGGAAATAAAATTAATGCATTGATAGGCCATCATCCTCTTTTGAACCTCCTTGATGCAGCAAATGAAAAAAGTCCACTTATTGAACAGTGGACTGCAAAATCCCCTCTGGCAGCAGACATTATGGACAAAGGAGACATGAAAGTAGCAGGCAGCTAACCAGCAGCTTTGACAGATATAATGATAAACATGCAGGGGTGTGAAGCCATATTAAAGTATTTTCACTGAAGAAAGAAGAGGGAAACCAAAGAGGCAGATTTCCTTGGCATTTCACATTTTGTGATCATGAAATCAGACTGTCTTTCATCACAATAAATGTAAATATTAGCAAGATTAGTTATTAAGAAGCATAGAAATAACAGAATCGGACAATAGGTTGTTGTTAGCAGTATTTCCTTTGAATCTAAACCAAACTTGATTTTAAGTCAGGAAAGTTTAGTTTGATCAACTCCAGAAAACAAATAGGAAAAGACACCAAATCATCTCTTCAATTTGCCTGGAGCTGTGGGACCCAGCTGACACAAAAGGTTGCCTGTAGCTGCAGGGTTGTGCTGTTGGAAAGGCTGACCTCCACAGCAGCGGCTGCTGCAGGCAGCCCCTTGTGTAGCTCTTTCCTGGGCAGCAGCCTGTTCCCCTGGGTCCCTGCTCTGCTCGCTCCTGTTCCCCTGATCCCTGCTCTGCTCGCTCCTGTTCCCCTGGGTCCCTGCTCTGCTCGCTCCCGTTCCCCTGGGTCCCTGCTCTGCTCGCTCCTGTTCCCCTGATCCCTGCTCTGCTCGCTCCTGTTCCCCGGATCCCTGCCCGGTTCCCCTGGGCCCCTGCCCTCTATCCCGGTTCCCCCGGGCCCCTGCCCTCTATCCCGGTTCCCCCGGGCCCCTCCCCGCTCGCAGTGCGGAGCGCCGTGCTCGGGCAGGCACGGCAGCCTCAGCAGCACATCATGCAGCCGTACCCATCCGGAGCACAGCTGGGAGGAACCTGTCACATCTCTGCTTCCCCAGCCTCTCCCGTGCAGGTGAAATAACAGGAAAACAAGGCCAGCAGTGGTGGGAAGTCACAGTACCTGAAGGTTGCTAATGAGCAATGATAGCGATTAATGGTCCCTAGTTTTGGCAGAACAGCAGCAGTTGTCTGTTTCTACACGTGTATCATCATCTGTAAAGTACCAGCACCGGCAATCACACACATTTTTATTTAAAATTAAATACTAGAGGGTTGAAGTCTTATCAAAATCCCACATTTAAGATGAGGACAGGAGCTGCATTTGTGTCAGGAGTGGTATGCTGGCTTTAACATTCCAGGGCAATAACCCCAGGACAAGGAGTGGATTTCATGCACGGTGTCCCATCCATCGGGTGCACTGAGCTCTGCCTCGGCCATCCTCGGCCTCTACCACCAGAAATGTCCTTATTCCCCAAGGGGAGCTTCCTTTCAAAGCAGTTTGAACTCACAAATTTCACACTCTAATCCGTTTGCACACAACTGGACTGTTGTCTTAAGGTTTATTAGGGTTCCCTCAACATATGATGCCTGTTTTCCCTGGATAATGAATCTGAAAATGTTGACCCGGAACATATGTTTTTCAATATTATAGTAAACTTCCTCACATATTTAAGATTTATCTTTCAGTACTTAATGGAATGAAAACACTAACATGAATAAATTAATACATTCACATAAAGATAAATGTTCCTGAATGAAGGGTGTATCTACAAAGTTTATTGAAATTGCATATTAACAGTATTTGTATTTTATTTTAGCATTCTTTACTCATAACTCATACAATACCAAACAAGTTTGGTATTTTTGAGAACACCATATTCTTATGTTAGAAGTGTTAATGATAATGACTTATTTGCAGTCGGCAGAAATGTCCACAGAATATTTATTGGCAGGCATCCAAAGGTTTCCTGCTCTTTAACTGTAAATCTATACATGCCTGTACTGTACAAATCTGTACTGCATTTTAAATTATTAACCGGAGACAGAAGAGTAGACGCGCCATTTAGACACAATATCTATCTTTTACAAAAGTAAATAATTTTCTTTAATAAAGGAATAAGACAACATAATAACTAAAATAAAATATTTGTGTCTGTTCTTAATTCAGACAAGTCTCAGGCAGTACACAGATCTTAATCTTTGCTTTTCCCAAGTGTTATTTGTTAAGTGTTACCCTTTCAGAAATGAATTGTTAAAAAGCAAATAAAAACATCGTTATTTGTAGGAAATCTTATCTAAATGAATTTCCCGTGATGTAAAAAATAGAGATTATCATGAATATTTGTGTTAAGGTAGTAAATAAAGTGTAATGTGGATCTTTAAGGGAAAATAATTAGGTAGCCATCTTTGCAAAATTACATATTTCAGTGTTGATTTATTGGCCATGTTATCATGACATTGATCTATACAGCAGTCTTGTGATTCAAAATGGTGAACTGGTGAATATTATGGATTTTTAATGCCTTAAATAAGTCTGGGGAAAGAAGATGAACTATCTTCATTATATCAGTAAGAGAGGCTTTCCCATTTTTACAGCACGTTTCCACCTGTCCTAGCACTCAGACACAGAAAATAAAAATAAATGTTTGATGTGAGATTTCAGGAATGCCTTGTACAGTTGTATTAATATTTTCATATATCTATTAGCAATACCAAACCTAAAATATTTTAGGATTGTGTTCAGCTTTGCCACAGATGTCTTCACAGCAGTGACTTATAGGTAGCCTCTGCTC